GTAAAAGGCTGACATGAATATAGCAGCTGTATTGATTTATCCAGATGCCCTAATTTTCTGGATGATACATCTATTTATGAAAATATCCCTAGGATCTTTTCTCCATCAAGAATCTCAGAAGCTAATCATATAAGAGGAAAAATCCTTACCTAATATTGGCCGAAAGACCAGATAAGTATACTTTAGATAAGTATACTTTCAAAGCTGAGAATTGTTCATTACTGTAGAAATTGTTATTGGCTCTTCACAGTAATCAATAATAGCTGTTTCTTCAGGGTGATGTAACTATTTTTACTTTCACCTTTTCTGCATGTAGTCATGGGAACACAAACCAATCTGTGAGAATCAGACTTAGGAACAATTTGAGCATTTGAGGTGGCTGGGGGGTGGTCACTCAGTCTCATCACTTTCCTGGCTTCCCACTTAGCAGTGTGCCTTACCTCCATCAGAGCATCAGAAGAGATTTGTTTCCAATTGTCCCAGCTGAAAGAGTTTCTGCCCTCCCCCCCCTTTTATTGACATTGCTCTAGCAAGTTCTAAAGGGAGATTTCAGAGATTTCAACCTTGAAGGTTGTTTGAACCTCTGGGTGTTCTTTTGATATAAGTAAACTGTCTGCAAAAGATGCGTTTCCAAATCCTGAAATATTCTGTCCTGACTTCACACACAGCCTGATGCAGGCAGACCTACCAGGCTTCACCACTGAAGAGATTACTGTGAGACAGAACCTCTGTGTTTGCTATGTGGTAATGCCAGCAGGTTCCTGGAGAGAATCCAGTCAGGAGCAATCATCATCTAAAGAATAGTTGTTCTAGAAGCCTACAGGAAAACAACACTTCTCTTGTCTACTATAGTTCCCCTGGGAGCTATAGCTGATAAAGCTAACCCTGATGCCCTGTGTTAAATCTCATGGATCTTGCCCTGCGTGTATGATGGAGATACTGTTGTGCGACTGAAGGATGTTCCGTTCTGCACCTAGTTCTTACAGAAACGGTTTTGGGACCTCCTTCATGGCATTAACAATTCCCTGCCAGCTTTTGTCTTAACATATGCCCAGCCCTTCTAGTGGATCCACAAGTGTTGGATCCAAGATGTATGCCCACTTATATAATGGTATGGTGTCCTGGCTTTCTGGCTTTTACTATAAAGCATGTAGTACACTGTTGTTCTGCCTCTTGTTACTCAACAGTTTTTTTCCACTATTCTTAGCAATATTCTCATATTGTATAGTAAGTGGTAATTCAAATTTACAGTTTTCCAGGTACCAAACATTCTGCCTCATGATAGGATGCATAAAATGTGGTAACTAGAGAAAAAAATAATTACCCAGATGTTTGAATATATCTCTTAGCTGGATTGTACTTATCCACAAGATTCTTCAGAGTTAGGAAAGGAAAGAAGAACATCATATTCACTGACTGATATTTAAAATAGTTTTCTTGCCTATAATTTTTTATCACAGGGTTTGGGGAGCTTTCTGCCGTGCGCATATGAAGAAAGTGACAAAAATGCTCCAAGTAGTATCAGGATGAGATTGGCTGTTGTGGGATGCAAACAACTGACTGTCTTAGCACCCCACACACATTGCATAGATGAGACCCAAGAACAGGTATCCAGTTTAAATGTATCTTCAGGGAAGCATGATTATATTAAAATATTTTCCTTGCTGAGTTTCAGTATTCTCTGTATCAAATATGTTCAGATTTCAAGTAAAAAGAGTAAAATTTAAATGCCCTCGGGACAACTTCAGCCTAGCCCCTAAGAATCAAGCTTCTGTTCTTCTCCCTCTCACCAGTTATGATGAATGCTCTGCAAACCACATTACATCCTAATCAGCATTTGCATAATCTTTACTATCTCTATGATTACAGTATGAGGGGGTTATATATAAGCTAGACAGTAATTAAAGAGAGCTAGAAAGAACCCAGTTCTGATGATTAGCATAAAGGAGTAATGACTCGAGAGCACACAGACTGGGGAGAAAGGCTGAGAAGGAAAAAGGCAAGCTGCCTATCCAGTGTAAGTCTTCCAATGAACCTGCGAGATGTAGGGTGGCAGAACTGCTAGTGCAGGGATGAGGAAGGAGGAGGCCTCCCAGTCTAAGGAGGACCAGTGCCAGTCAGCTGCCAGACAGTTGTAATGATCTGTGGCTCTTTCATGTGTGGCATTTGGAAGAGAGCTATCCTGGTAGGGTAACTACCTTGAGTTTCTTAATCATGCAGAACTATTTAGACTTCTGGTACAGACCCATCCCAAGGTCCGAGCAGCAGGAGGAAGCCAAAGAGACCTGCTGGACAGTGGGTCTTCAACTATTGGATATAGCCTTCAACTATTCCACCGTTGAGGCTGCTGTTTTGATTTTGGGGGGATAACAGGCAAGTTCTGTTGGCACCAACCCACACAAGAGCCATGTCCAGTGCCACTGAAGAAGTCCCTCCTGCTTTTCCAGATGCTGAAAGACCTGTTGTTGAGGTGGTGAAATATTAGCCCAGACCTTGCAAAGTTCTGAGCTAGAAGTATTAGAAAAATTCCTTTGGAGCCTTCGGATGATTGGAAAGGAATGTGCCTGACAAAACTGGCTTGAAGATTTCCACAAGAAATGAATGCGCTACTGCTGATGGTGGTTGTCATCTGCAGTAGCCATGGGATGGTGTATCAGTCACAGGCGTCTCCCTGCAGAAAAATGGACAAAGTGTGGTAACACTTTGCTGTAGCTGCCCACATGACAAAAAAAGAGCTCCCTTGAAACTCAGGAAAGATGCTTAGGCTGCAGCTCTGCAAAGAACCCTTGGAGCAGCAGAAGAGGTATGGAGAGATCATCTGGTCATTTTACAGGACACACCTAGTAATCTGCTGCCAGTGTGGAAAACAAGGGCTCTTTGGAAAGCAAAAAGAGATGTGCATGTATTTGTTCATAAAAATGGATAATAATAGAACAGAACCTGTTGTCAAACTGCAGACAGGCCCAGGCGGTCTTGTAGTTTTAGCAGATGTAGCCAAAGCAGCCCCAGAATATTTTAAGTGCAACCCTCTCACTTTAATAATAGCATACAAATGTTGTCGCTGGGTTTGAGGACGAGGGGCTGCCATGTCCAGCCTCAGATGCAATAGCTGAATTCTCAGGATCCCTAGGGAGATGGGACAATGGGACTTCACCATTCACTGGGTCATGCCATAGCCGTTTTCAGGTTCTTCAATTTTTCATTTTTCCTGGATTATATCCCAGCGAGATAAGAGCCCATATCTGATCCTGTACCACTTTTCTGAGTTCAGTCTTCAGTGTCTGCTCTAGCCATTGAGAAAAGTGCTTCCATGTCCTGAATTCAGTGTTTGCCTGTTGCAGACAGATGTGAGTTTAAATGCACAAAATCTAATGTCGTCTTTGTACTGAAATAAAAGTCACAAAAAGCTGAATTCTTCTTTGTCCTCAGTCTTATCTGAGGTATGCTAATTTGTCTTTGTGCAATCATTGCAGAATTAAGCCAATGTAATTCAGAGCAGAAGGAAGCCCCAAACCTCTCCAGGGCTGTTTGAGGTAATACACAGTCATAAAACCAAAACCCAGCATCCTTCTCTCCTCCAGTTTCCCCAAGGTATCAGGGAACATTCTGATCTTAGATCCAAAGTGGAAAGCTGTGGTATTTGCACTAACTTTCCTGGAGCTATTCCCCATCCATACTGTGGTAACAGATTGTCGACTCAGGTGAGATCAGGACTTTTTTTTTCTTTAGCTGGGCCTCCCATTTTGGTGGTTGTGGAGAGAAGGTGGCAATCTGCATCCTTTCCTGGAGAAGGAGAAGTTGTTTCTACTGGTATTGCCGCTAAAGTATAGCTTTGCATCTTTTATATGTTTCAGGAAGTTCTTTATTTGTAAGAAGGACATACCTAAAACTCAGACACCTTTGAGGAGCTACAAATTGCCAATTCTGACAATTTTTATCATAAGTTTTGTGATATTTGAGGCCTTTTCCTCAAAGTACCAGGTGTTGGAGTGATGTGATTATGTGAAAAACTCTAATTTTTCTTTCATTTAAGCAAAAACGCAGTAATTTTCTTGCTCTCATGGTAGTAGATAGAAAGCTTAAAAACCTGAGCACACTGCAAAGGCTCAGGAATCAGAAGGCAAAGCAAAATGATTTGAACATATATGCCTTCCTAAATATTATATATAGAAGTCCATGTCATAATATTTTTTTTAAAGATCTGATTCATGATTTTTAAATGATTCATATAGATTCGCTGTGCTCTTGGATAAAATTCTTTGTCACGCTAAAGGCTAAATTGAGCCAAGAGTAAGTTCACTATAAACAATTACACATATTGTCTATTCTTGGATTTTTAAAAACATCATATACTCTTTAGAAAGCTCTATAATGCAATGAAGACTAAAGCTTTCATCTATCCAAGTCCCGGTATATGACAAATATAAAAATTGAAAAGCACAACAGAAACAGAAGCTAATAAAACTTGAAATAGGTGAGATTTATTTCTTTAAATTGTAACTTTTCCCATACCCATTGGGCCACAATCTGTTCTAGGTTACACTAGGGTAAACCCTGAGTAAATCCAGAGAAATAATCTGACTTTAGTGGTCACAACTAATATATTTTGCAGTGAATTGATACCAGTTCTACTAAATGTATTTGTCATTCCATTTCTAGTTCCAGCATTTATATCAAAATCTAGTAAGAACAATGTGATGGGGGAATTGAAGAAGTACTAAAATTAAGCCTATGTATGCAACTTCAGTTTGACTTATATCCCTTCTTCCCTGCTTCTAAATATTAATTCTGAAGCTTTTAATGATGTGATCACATTTTTTCCACAGGATCCACTACCTCTCCAAGTAGCAGATTACTCTGTTGGGATTTAGATGTGAAGTGTGCAGCAAGGGAGATTCCTGCCTTCCAGATCTCTATTTCACTTTAACCTTAAAGCGGTACTTGGAGCTACACAAACCAAGTCTTATAGAAAGTAGGTGAAAATGGTGTATTTACACACTCATCTGATCAGGAATCCACGATTGCAAAGCGAGGTTACCAGGCTGTGCTTCAGATGCCTTGAATGAGAAGGGAAACGCGTGTGGTCTGCAAAAGAAAAATGATCCAGGAGTCATACTTGCAGTCTTCTGATCTATAATCAGAGGGTGTTATCCATTGTGCTACTAGCATGCTGTTGGCAAGGTCTTTGCCTGGACAGATGCACCCTATAATCAAAGTTGAAAGATAATGAAATTTATTTCTAAAACCCCACCTAACTTTTCCCCAAAATAACAGAGCAAAATGAAACTCTTGCCAGGCTGATATGAAGATGAATTGAGTGTTTGTGAAGCATTCAAGAACAGCAGTGATGAACACTAGAGAAAATTTTAGGACTTGAGCTACCATATCACTGACAAAAAGTAAGAAGACTAGAGGTCTTACATGGTAACTCAAATCCTCCAAAGCCAAGAGCACCTATCCCTCAAACACTCTTTTATAATCCTGTTTACTGCCTAAAAGGATCATCCAGATGGGATTCGAAGGGCAGAAAAGAAGGATGTACCAGAGGAAAACAAATATATGGCATCCTTACTTAGGAGAAAACAGATGGCTTTTAAAACAAGTCTGGCTAACGCAGAATAAAACATGTAGGGGACCACACATTAAATACTGCAGATAGAACAAAATGACTAAAGGATCCTCTGTCCATCCGGTGTACCAAAGAAATTCAAGTCTTTTGGAAAGAATAGTATCCCACTAAGGACTGCATCATAAAGTAGTCTTTCTTCTGTCATTTTTCTGAGTCATCTGAATTTCTGAATCACCCGAACTTCAACCTCATTGTTACTTGTACATGTAGATTTCTAATTTGGGGTGAGGGAAAGGAGAATGAAGACTTTTTTTTTTTTAATGTAGCATCTGGAATCATTTGTATTCTCCTGTTCAGAAGGAGGAGACTCTTTAGATCCACTCCACAGACTTCTACTGCTTGACCTAATGGAGCATCTGCTCACAGTATTACAATGCCATGTCCTCTGCAGGGAAAAGGACCTCTCCTGCCATCACAGCTTCACTGCTATTTATTGACAGCAGAACAGGGAGACTGAGCAGCCTGAATGCCTTTCCATGCGCCGATGGGGAGGAATCACACATTTGATGGGCATTCCCCTAAAATGGACCTTTCTGAGTCTCAGTCTTTTCCACATCCCTGCCTACTCTCATGCTGTTCACTTTTCCCGTTGCTTTAACTTCACTCTCCATTGCTCAGGGATGTCATCCACATCTCAGTCTCTCTGATGGTCTCACTATAACCTTCAATCTCTGGATTTTCCATCCAAGTACTGTTCTCTTTCTACACTGTCAATGCCTTTGCACCAAGGACCAGCCTTAATCATGGTAATACCTGTTTCTCGTCTCTATTGCTTATAGAATTCCCCTTTCCCTTTCTCTCCCTCTCACCTCTAAGCCTGTGCCCCACACCAGGGTACCGCTGTGAAACCTTTGCCAAAAAAAACCCCAAAGGCAGGTTATTGAAGACTGCCATGCTGCAACCTGAGCTCTTCTTGGTGCTTGAACACTGCAAGGGCCATATAACGCCAAGTATTGAACTACCATAAAATACATGCAGAAGTAAGGGTCAGTATGTTTGTTTGTAATTCAGGTTCACAATTTCAGTAGTCCATCACACAGCACACTTCACAGAACGTGCACATTTTTAAATAGTTATAGGAGGGCCCAGGAAGCCTGAAAGCTGTCTAGAACTGGAGGGTCCAAGAATCAAGAACTTTAACATGTGCTCCGGTCTGCTTAAGAGATAAAAAGGAAGGCGGGTAATTAGGCTTGACACTCTCTTTCCTGCAAGGCTAGACTTGGTTTTACAACCCAAATGGAATGAGAGAAGTAGTCTGGTGAGTATATTTATTCAATGTGAAGTAAACCCAGAGACTCATTTCATCCTTCACCCTTAAAAAATTAGGCAAAAATCACAAAATCCCTAAACTTCTCATGACATAGTCAAAGGCCTTTCCTCATTGAAGAAGGTAAAGGAAAACTGGTTTGAAAATCTAAAATTCGCCTAATTTCTGAAGAAATAAAATAAACCATAAATAAAAATAAACCACCACAGATAATTTTACCCTGAAGCATTAAGAGACACACTTGCAAGTGAAAGGGTCAGAGCAAATACAGCATAACCTGAAGCCTTCAAAGTGATAGCAATAACACACTTAATATACCAGTGTCAAATTTATATGTCTTTGGTGTATTCCAATAATAACTGGAATAAGACTGATTTTTGTCTCTAAGCTTGTATGTCTCTTTTCCCACAGTTCAGAGAAACCCTGCTGTCTGGAATAAAGTTTTGAGGGGACAAAGGCAGAACAAGACTAGGCATGACTAGCTAAATTATTAGGGATAGCCTGGGATGCTGAGACTCAGCTATGTGCTGTAATATCTGGAACAGAGTTATTCTCATCCTTTCTCCTCCCTCAAGAATCTCTAATTATTTCATTCAGCAGAGAAAAGCTTCAAAAGGTCTGCAGGGTCTTCTTTTCCCGCATAGTTCCAGCTATGCCTGGATGCTCTGCTGATGGGCAGGAGGTGAATGGATCTCTTTGTCAAGTGCTCTAACCCCTGCCTCTTGTGTCATCTCCAGCAGCTGACACAGAAACAACAAAAACAACAACAAACAGACTAACACAATGAGGCAAAGTTTCAAGCATCCTGCTCCAGCTTGAATTTTGAAAGGAGAAAGGCACTGCCTGGTGGCATGCAGTAAGATGTCTATGCCACAGGAAGGGAAGGACTCAAAGCTTTGGTCAGATGGTCTCTTGCAAATGTAACTGTGGCAGTGTAAAGAATTAGCTCCCTGTCCTTCAGTTACAACTCTTGGGCTGAAAACTGTTGCTTTCCCTTAGCAGGGCTGGCAGAGTTGCTTGTGACATAGCTCATGTGCTTCAGTGCAAGAACTAACTGGTCAGACATCGCGCTGTAGCAGATGGGGAGTGCTCAGGTGAACCATTCCGCTCCGGTAACCGTAACCTCAGGCAGAGTCGTGATGAACTCAAACAGCTGAAAGGATGATCATGCCTTAAACTGCTGCAGCCTCTTCTAAAGTGGTAGCATGTAGCCAAGGGTGTCTCCTCTTTTCAGTGCCTCCTTCGGGCTATTTCTGATAACTGGCATTTCAGCACGGTGGCTTCTGTGGATCCCCCTCTGATGTTACCTTGCCATCGCCATGCACTGGGGGACCAAGGGGTCTACCTCAGATCTGCAGATCCTGCTGTGGCTGGTGCGTAGCTGTGTTCTGATTATGCCATCAGTAAGGCACTCCTCCCTTCACAGCAAATAAATGCACTGACAGTTTAAAGGCACTAGTAAAAGACAGGAAGGAGGCAACAAGGAACTTTTCCCGGTATCAATCTTACCACAAACTTAGTCAAGCTTAGCAAAGAGTCACTTGTATCAAAAGCAAATATCCTTTAGCTAAACCATCGTCGTCACTGTTATGTGGTGGTCCAAATAATAACTTTAAATGTACCTTTAGCAAAATAAGCCCAATAGCAGCAGAAAGGCATTGAGGTCCCAGCTGGTGCCTGCCCCGTCTTCAGGATCCCAGGCATGCACAAAGCCAACAGGCTGACTTTTGAACCCTGAATGTTTTTGCTATTGACTGCCTTTGGTTTTGCCCTGTCTCCTGCCTCCCTCCCTCACCATCACTATGGTGACTACTGTATCACAGACTGTCTCCTAGCCTTTGAAATTGTCTCTCTCCCTTATTAATCCTTTCTCCCTTAGCATCCCTTTTCCTTTCGACCCAATCCTGCCCTTTAAATGATAGGATCAGCTCTGGACTGTGGCTGAAGTCATCCCAGCTGTCCAGCCTGTCCCTGCTGCGTGCTTGTCTCATTGCTCATCAATCATCTCCTGAATTGCCTCGGTTTGCCAAGCAACATTTTAAGGCAAACTGAAATAAGCAACAGTTCACCTTGAAACACATGCTTGCAACTGTGGCAGCCAAAGAGCTGACTGACAAGCAGCTGTACAACAAAATGGGGGGAATGAATGTCCTAAGCTAAACTTCTCTTTCTCTTAAAACAGTCTCCTCGATATATACAGGTAATGAATGCTCATCCATCTTCCTCTTATTGATTTAATCTTATGTCAAACCTACCTTTTCACATATTCTGGAAGAGATCCTGTTTTGCTCTACATGTCACCTAGCATCACCTAGCACAGCAACTGATAGGAGCAGAGTTCAGGGATGATAACGAGCTGTGTTGTTTCTGATGCCAGACACAGCCCCAGAGACTCAGAGGTGTTAACTCAACTTCAGCTTGGTAAATCAAGCCCAAGGCTTCAGACAGAGCATCTCAGCCCTGTGTATCCTCCTTAACGTATTGAAAAGCTTTTATCCCACTTTTCTGTAGAAATAAGGCTTATGAGATCAGCTGGGTAATGCACGTCTCTTCCTCCCCCATCTTCTTTCCCTCATTAGCCAACCTCACCAGAATTTAATACAGAAAGTAAAGTTCTTCAAGGTTAATTAAATTCTTACAGGCTTTATAAAAAACAGTGGCCAGGAAGCAGAGAGCATGGTTTGGACCTCCCCAGGTTGCCCTCAGATGTTTTAGCTCCTGTCACCCAATTTCTAGAATATCACTTGGCTTTAAAATACTCAGTCGGGGCAGGGAATGTTGTGAAGGATAAAAAAGGGGAACCATAGTGCTTTGGTGAGTACACGCGGTGCCTCAAGTCACACAATATGCAACAGCCTCTGCAGTGCTGTTTTGGTAAAGGCCAAACACAGGAGCCCCCGGCTGCCCTTGGAGAGCAGGCAGAGGGCAGGCAGTAAAGGGAAGGTGGCAGGCTAATGCGATGTCAAAAAAAGTGTGAAAAAACACAGGAAGCCTCACGTATCTGTGTAACTGCAGTCACACCAGTGGGACCAACAAGCTTCTCCTGAGCAGCATGGCTTATGGTCCAGACCAAACCCTAGTCTAAAGGTCTGAAGTCTGACTTAACATGAGCCATAAAAGGATATTGGACATTAGGGGTATGTCATCCGGGAAATGTCTAAATATAGCTTTATATGAAATGAACACGGG